CACTCTGGTGGATCAAAGCAAGTTTGATATAACGTGGTTTCACCTATAACACAGTAAGATTTTTTGGCTAACGAGGACAGCGTTATATCGAGGTAGAGGTGTATGTATGTGATCGTCGAGGGCCTGTGTGTATTTCATGGATTCAAAAGGATCTTCAGAAAGACTCTGGACATTTGCACTGTTGGTGGATGTCTGGCTTACAAGGAGTTGGAAGATGCAGTGAGAGCTTAGCGACAATTAATCTATGGTCTAAGTTCGCTGATGCTTCTGGTGAGATTTCACTACAGAGCGATTTCTGATGAGAATGTGGTCAGTTTCCTTCATGGCACATCCACTGTTTTGAAATCAAGGTCCAGCTCTGGTTGTTAAGGCATCTAAACCAGGGGTCCATAACAGACAAGTACTTGGCAGCACACAATATCAGAAGCCAGCTGGTGATGTTATTTGGGGAACCTGAACCAAAGGGACCTATCACAGTTTCGTTCCCAGTTCGATCGCAACCAGTCACAGTACTGAAATCTTCAAGTACTAGTAGTATGCCATATGGTAGAGTTGACGTGATTTTTTGCTGCTAGTTGGTGGTAGAATGTGTCCTTTTCCCCCAGGTGATGTGTCTTCTCAGGGCCAACGAGGGGGGGGGAGCCGGTACAAATTACCGGGGCCCGGCGGTCTGGAAGGGGGCCCGGGGCCCAGCTTCCCCCCCTCCATCAGCCCTGTTTAGCTGGTCCTCCCTTGCTGGGGGGCCCGAAAAAATTCCGGGCCCAGCTTCCCTGGCTCCCCCCCCCCCCTCGTCGGCCCTGTTTAGCTGGTCTGCCCTTGCTGGGGGGCCCGAAAAAATTTTTTCACCGGGGCCCGAACCCGCTCTCGGCGGCCCTGTGTTTTCTGTTGGCATGTGGGGCACAATGACAGATAAGCATCTATGAAAGAACAAGTTAAGAATTACTTAGACAAGTTAGATGTCTTCAAGTTGACAGGTCCTAATGAAATACTTCCTAGAATACTTAAGGAACTAGCTGAAGAGATCTCTGAGCCATTAGCGATTATCTTTGAAACTTGTGGAGGACAGAAGAGATCCCAGAGGACTAGAAAAAGGCAAGTATAGTACCTATCTATAAAAAGGGGATAAGAAAAATGCAAGGAATTATAGACCAGATAATTTAACTTTGGTACCCGGAAAGATAATGGAGCAAATAATCAAACAATCAATTTCTAAGCACCTAGAAGATAATAAAGTGATAAATAAAGTCAATATGTCAAAAACAAATCATGCCAAACCAACCTAGTATCCTTCTTTGACGGGGTAACAAGCCTTGTGGATATGGGGGAAGCAGTAGATGTGTTACATCTTGACTTTAGTGAGGCTTTTGATACTGTCTCACCTAACCTTCTCATAAGCAAACTAGGGAAACCATAGTCTAGACAAACTTACTAGAAGGTGGGTGAACAATTGGTTGGAAAAGCTTCCTTCGAGAGTAGATATCAAGGGTTCACTGTCATGCTGGAAAGACATATAAAGTGGAGTCCTGCAGGGATCTGTCCTGGGTGTGGATCTATTCAATATCTTCATAAATGATTTGGATAATGGCACAAGAGAGTACACTTATAAAGTTTGTGGATGATACCAAGCTAGGAGAAGTTGCACACGTTGGAGGACAGGATTAGAATTCAAAATGACCTTGACAAACTGGAAAAATGGTCTGAAATAAATAGGATGAAATTCAATAAGGATAAATACAAAGTACTACACTTAGGAAGGAATAATCAATTGCACAAATACAAAATGGGAAATGTCTGGCTAAGAAGGAGTACTGCAGAAAAGGATCTGGGAGTTATAGTGGATCACAAACTAAATGAATCAACAATGTAATACTGTCTCAAAAAAAGTGAACATTATTCTGAGATGTATTAACAGGAGTGTTGTGAGTAAGACACGAGAAGTAATTCTCCCACTCTATGGAGGAGCACTGATAAAGCCTCAACTGGAGTAATGGCCAGTTCTGGCCACCACACTTTCGTAAAGATGTGGACAAACTGGAGAAAGTCCAGAGGAGAGCAACAAAAATTATTAAAGATGTTTAGAAAACATGGCCTACAGGGAAAGACTGAAAAATATTAGCGTTGTTTAGTCTGGAGAAGAGAAGACTGAGAAGGGGACATTATAGTCTTCAGGTATGTAAAAGGAGGAGGGTGAGAAATTGTTCTCCTTAACCACTGAGGACAGGACAAGAAGTAGTGGGCTTAAATTGCAGCAAGGGATATATAGGTAAGATATTAGGAAAAACTTCCTAACTGTAAGGGTAGTTAAGCATCGGAACACATTACCTAGAGCAGAGGTTCTCAACCTGGCTTAGACCTGCCGAAGCCTGAGCCCCACCACTCGGGGCCAAAGCTGAAGCCTGTGCCCCACAGCCTAGGGCTGAAGCTGAAACCCGAGGGCTTCAGCCCTGGGTGGCAGGGCAGGGCCCTTGCCTGGAGCTGAAGCCCTTGGGCTACGGCTTTGACCCCTCCTCCTGCCCAGGGTGATGGGGCTCGGGTTTTGGCCCCCCCCATCCGGGGCAGCAGGGCTCAGGTGGGCTCAGGCTTCAGTCCCCCCTACTGGAGTCATCTAGTAATTTTTGTTGTCAGAAGAGGGTCATGGTGCAATGAAGTTTGAGAACCCCTGACCTAGAGAGGTTGTGGAATCTCCATCAGTGGTGTTTTTTAAGAGCAGGTTAGACAAACACCTGTCAGGGATGATCTGGATAATACTTAGTCTTTCCTCAGTGCAGGGGACTGGACTAGATGACCTATTGTGGTCCCTTCCAGTCCTACATTTCTATGTTTCTATGATAGTGTTGGATCCAAGCACAGAATAGACATGAAGAGATTTGGTTCCATGTAGTGAAAGTCTTTGCTAGAGGTTGTCTGATAACAAGTAAGTGCTGCACCTTAAGTTTGTTGTGCATCTCCAGAGTGGAGGAAAGTTCCTCCTTCCACAGTGTCTTGATTGCTTTGTGGCTCTGTGAAGCCACAGATTATGATCTCATCATGGGTGAGTTCTTTGACAAGAGCTGTCTTGTACCCAGTGCCTTTCAGTGTTCGCATGTTCCATGTAGTAACACAACACCTCCCCAAAGGGCTGGTTTGGACTTCCAGGACTTCCTGGAAGTTGAGATAATGGGGGCTGCACGTTCTTGAAGCGGGATTTGGGTCATGCCTGTCTTACATCTGCAGAACACACCCCTACTCCTGGAGCTGGTAATAGCAGGGGCTTTAACCCTGGTGCTGTTGTCATGGTCTGCGATGGCTGTTTGCTATTTTGTTTCATTGTGCCTCCTTGGGATTGGGGGAGATATATTTGAGTTGTATTTCTATAAAGTTGAAAATAACTATTTTGCATAGAAAATAAGTACAAATCCTTTTAGAAGGTGTTTCATGTTGTTAGTTGAAATTGGGTGATAAAAGATTTTAAGAAGAGAAGAATTCCATTTTGGAACAGCCTAGGAATAATGTGTTTTATAAAATGGTTTATTCAGTTCAGTCTGCTGTTCCAAATATGTTCTCCTGCCCTGTGGATGGCAAATCACTTATAGTAATAAACAAAAAATGTACAATGCCTGGTCCAAAAAGAAATGCATCTGAATTTTTAAACTGGAATTTTCAAAGGATCCTAAACAAGACAGGCACCCAACTCCCACTGAATTTCCCTGTGCCGATATGAACCACTGTAATGCAAATAATAACCTTCATCTGGTTTTCACTGTAGAATAATCCGGTCCCTTTCCCTGTATAGCATCATTCTCTGGAGGATCTCAAAGCACTTGCGACACATTAAGAATGAAGCCCTGTGTGACACCCGTCTTACTGATGGGGAAACTAAGGTAGGAAATCAAAATTGCCTATCTCAGAGCAATGGTAGGGCTGGCAGAGAGCCTGACGGTGTGACCTATTCTTAGAGAGAACAGGAAATAATATCCCTGGGGCTGGGTAAGCGACGTCCCTAAGTGCCAGAGATGGGCCAGATGCCTGTCCGTCCCCACCAACCTGGAGCGTTTGGACCCCGCCCGGAGCTACGTTGTGGCTTGCTTCCAGCTCCGAGGACGGCCTGCCTTTCCCCCTAACCCCTGCCCCCGGCTGCAGCACTTGCTTGGCAAGGGCAAGCAGCTCCCTGGCCGAGCCTGGGAGGCGTGAGAGAGGCTGGCTCCGCAGCGGCACGTGCTCCTGCCTGCTCCCCGGGGCCTCCCGTCCCCGCGCGCCCGGCGATGCCAAGTGCTAGCCGGCGAGTAGATAATTCCTGCGCCATTTAGGGGAGCGGATTAATTTGGCCAGTTAATCCCCCGGCGCAGAGGGGGAGCGGGGAGGGCAGAGCGAAGGCGGGAGGGGCCGAGGGAGGCCGGGGCTCCGGCACATGCGCTTTGCCCAGGGGACTCGAGGAGCGGCGAGAAAGTTGCCTGGGAGAGCAGCCGGGGAGGGACGGGCGCGTTGTCACCCCGGAGCTCCCCGCGGGAGGCGGCTCTGCTGGCTCAGCCCCGAGCTGGAGCGGGACCGCCGAGCCTGCACTCCGCACCCGCCTCACGCCCGCCACCTTCCCGCAGCGGCGGCCGGAGGATGAACTTTAACCAGGACAGGAGGATGCTGCGCGGGCTGCACTGAGCCCGCCACCCGGCGCCACTCGCACCTGCCAGTGAGAGGAGCATCTGCGGGGCCGAGAGTCCAGGCGCTGCTGCAGCCATGGTGGGCGCGGGGCTCCGGGCTCAGCCCTCGCCTTGACAGCTCGAGAGACCCCGGCTGCGTCTCAGCCCCCTCCTTGCACACCTCCCACCTGCGCCTCTCCCCCAGCCCTGGCGCGGCTGCCTGGAGCTCTCCCGCTGCCCGCTCCTCAGCGCCCGGAGCTGGCTTCCCTGTGCGTTCAGCCGGCTTGGGATGAAGCCCTCCGCAGGGGGTGCCGCTAAGTGAAGCCCACTGGTCTCCTGGGGCTTCTTCGCCCTCTGCCCGCCCGCGTCCTCTCTCCGCTGGCTCCGATGGGGCTGGAAGTGCCGCCCCTCGCCGCCCCCCAGACCATGCTCTTCAAGCTGAGGAAAGTTCGCAAGCGGCGAGAGATGCTGCTGCCGCAGCTGGGCTTCATCTGCGCCATCCTCTTCTTCGTGTGGTGCATGTCCAGCCTGCTCTCCAAACTAGGTAGGTGGCCGCGGGGGTGAGCAGAGTACAAGCCACTGGACAGCCAGGGATGTCGGGGCTGGCTTGGGGCAGTGCCTGGCTGTGCACCAGGGTGGGGGGCTCGCTGTTTGCACGCTGCCTCTGCCAGGCTAGCTCATTGTCAGTGTATCTTTATTAACTCCGGCAACAAACATGTTTGTAAAGCGGGGAGACCGCAGGTAGGTCAGGAAGGATGGGCTGGCTGGATCCTGGTTCCTGGTGAGGAGGAGGCATTAAGCTGTTCAGCTGCCCCCAGACCTATCTGTCAGTAAAAAGTGACGCTCCCCGCGCCCCCAAGTGAGTGAGTTTGCCTGGATAATGATGCTTAATGCCCAGTGGGATTAAAGCAAAGCAGTGGTCAGGTAACCACACCTTTTAGCTAGCTGCGTTCTCGTAGGAGCATTTCATAGTTCATGACTTGGCTCCCTTTTACTGAACAACTTCACTTGCAGTTAAGGAGAGGGTGAGAGGACTGGCTCCTCCTCACAAATCATGATATGTAACGATACCTTGCATTTCTCTAGCACTTTTCATCCAAGGATCCCAAAGCACTTTTAAATGCATCCCTCTGAGGGGCATAAATATTAAGCTCATTTTACAGATGAGGAAACCCAGCCACAGGAATTACATGCATTGCACAAAGTCATACAGTAGTTGAGTTCCTGAGCCTGAAGAAGAACGCAGGAATGGTGACTTCCGTCTGTTTCTCTAGCCACTTGACCGCTTGCAGAATTTTAAAAAGACCAAGATCGGGTATTGGATATCTGGATATAATCTAAAACTACTTCATTTTTCCCAGAGTACCATACTGATTGAACCGATTTTAGGAAAAATAATACTGAGAGTCTGATATTGTTTAAACGTTTTATATGTTTTAAATTAGTCTGTTACATCTGTACAAGTATTTTTAAATTAGGACATTATGAACTGCTGCATTTATACATTATGATCCTGGAATGCATTTCATTCTCCTTAGTTTGCTCGTTTTTTTTTTCCTGATCACACAGTTTGTGCTTTAAAAATGTAACTTTGGGTCTCAATTCTGCAGGTTGTTTCACATTGCTCTGCCCCTGTGGAAACCCAATGAGGTCAGTGGGGCACTGCACAGATGCAGGGATGCACCCATCAAACTTCCACTGGAATTATTTTTTAAACACAGATTTTAGCTCTAGCTTTAATTTAAGACAATCAAGGTCCTGCAAGAGCAGATCAGGGCCTTTATTCTCTTAAAGCTGGAGCTAAAATCTGTATTTAAAAACAATTCCAGTGGAAGTTTTAATGCTTGATAACACTCTCCTGTTCAAACTGTTGCTGGTTACACTTGATACTGATCTGTGATGACAACAAGCCATTAGTGGAAGAAGTTAGTACTCTACACTCTTATAAGCGTGTTATTGGCTTCAGATTTTTGGAAATTATTCTGTGTTGTAGTCTTAAAAACTATGATTTTCCACATTTTGAACAATTTATCATACCTAGTTTTGATTTTTGTTGCACTGGTTTGTGAAAATAACTGCAATGTGATTTGGTCATGAGTTTTTGGATGTAAATAAGCTTTCTCAGAACTGATTTTTTTTTGGTCACAAAATCTTGGTATGCATGATCAAGTGTATCATGAAAGTTACACTTTAAATTTCAACTGTTGCCAACAAGTTCAGCCTACCCTATCCAGGCAGAAAGGCCTAAGAGAGAAGACCCTGAGAAACCAGAGCAGAAATTGTTATATAAGCTCTCCAGACACAGAGGGGAAACCCTGACTAACCAGGGGAAAGCTGGGTCAGGTACTGTTTTTAGCTGATTAATTTGTAACGAATCATCACATAAACACTGATCATCAGTTCTCAGTTCGCTGTAATTGTTGCAGCAGTAGAACATTTTGGCAATGGCACTGACCAAACTAATTTTAGGGCCAGATTTTTTCAGTCCTTACTCAGGCAAAATGCCCACTTGTGATGGGGTACACAAGGTCTTTGGTGGCCCCCGATGGAAGCTATGTGGTCCTACCACACCCCGCCCCAGGAAAGGAACAGCAAAGGTGGGTCCTCCAGGCCTCTCTAGACAGGCTGCATAAAACAGCCAATCAAAGCCCAGCAGGCTTAGATAAAAGGAGCTGCAGGGCCTGAATTGGCCAGTTCCTGACTGGGACCATAGGATCAAGGAAGGGTGCTCCTTGCTGGTCACTGGAGCTTGACGGAGAACCTCAAGATGGGTTCTGGTGGCACTGGCATTCAGTGAAGGGGATCTGAGAATTTCAGCCCTGAGCTAAGGATGAAGAGAAAGGGGCAATGTGGGAAAAGGCCCAGGGAATAGCAGCAGTGAAGTGGAAGCAGCAACACGTGGCTGCTGTTTATAGGGTCCCTGGGTTGGGACCTGGAGTAGTGGATGGGCTGGGTTCCCCCACTGGCCACTAACTAAGAGGCTTAAGCCCTGAGAAGAGGAGAAGGCTTCTTCAGAAGCCTCAGTAAAGGGTGGGATTTAAAGTGCCCAGAGATGGGTCTGAAGACCCTGGTGAGGGCAGATAAAATGTTGAACTCTTTGCTATCCTAGAAGAGGTTCAGTCCTTTTTTGACTGTGACAGTGGGTGCCAGGAGCAGGAAAAAGAGTGCAGTACCACACCCAGCTACTAGGAGGCACTCAAGTGTCCCCATCACAACTTGGTACTGGAAGTGGGAACTTTGGGACCACACCCTGAAATAAGGGCACAGTGGAGAAGTGAAAAGAGTTCTAACCCAGCATCAGCACAGCTCTGCTGAAACTCAGCAGGTGCTAGCTGAAGGGTAACAAGGATCCCAGCAGCCATGACAGACGGGGACACCAAAATTCATATACCTGTTTCTGGGGAGGACTGGGTCTGTGAAGCAAATCTCGGTGTTGCTTCAGCAGCTCAGTGAGGCTCACAGAGAATGGCAGGAGGTGCGGCGGGATCTACAACAGTGGCTAGCCTGGCTAGAGGAGCAGCAGCAGTGCCTGTTATGGATCCTGCAGGGAAGAAGCAGCAATGGCTACTGATCATGGGAAGACCAGAACGATCTAGTGGGCTGGAGGCCTGAGGCCTGGCCAAGGAGATGTTATGGTTTTGGACAGATGGGACATTTCAGAAAGGCTTGCCCTTGGGCGAACTGAGGGAAAAGATTGAGTTGCTGGTGTGAACTAAGGTAAGAGCCATAGAAACTCCTCCAGGGCTGATGAAGAGGCATGAGGCCCAGTTGAGCACATGCTCTGCCTGTGGTCAATTTGGACGTATTAGGAGAATCTACCCCTATATGAACCATGATCGCAAGAGTGACTCTGGGCAACAGGGTACTGAAAGGGCCTCAAGGGATATTCTGCCAATTGTCAAAGCTGGGACAGTGGTGGTATGTTTTGCCTCCAGGGTGGCAGGGCATTGGAAACGACATTGCCCTTATAGAGAAATGAGTGGCAACAAGAGGAAAAGGAGACCCCAAAATCAGGCAAACCAGGAATAGTCAAAGGAGTGAGCAAGAAAGAATAGGGGTAACCCACAGTGTAAAAGCAGTAGTTACAGGCAAAGGGGATGTAGCACTGATGGCAGTAGAGAACACACCTACTCAAAAGGCCTGCACAGTAAGAAATGGGTAGAAATTGGGGAACAAGGTTGTTACCACAGAGAGGAAGTAGGTTGAAGTTGAGGTGAATACAGAGGCCACAGAGAAGGCTGACTCTCTGTAGTCTTGGGAACATGTGTAGCTGAGGTCCAAGAAACAAAGGAGATTGTGTGAAGGTTGCACTCTGTAGTGGAGAGATTCTGAAAGGAAGTGCAGGGGGAACTCTGGGGGAAGGATCAGTTGCACCTGGAAGTGTGCCAGCTACAAAAAAAAAGTCAAAACGATGAAGCTTGTGCCCTGGTGAAGGCACAGACTGTTGACCTTCCAGGGGGCGACAGTTCAGAATAAAATTTTAGAAGAGGTGGAGCTAGGCCTTAAATAGAATGGAGAGCTCAGTAGAGGGGAGGAGGGAGGAACAAAGGGAGTTCCTCTTTGGGAAGAGCCTGAGGAAGGCAACTCCTTTCTGAAGACCTGCCTAGCAAGGTCAGCAATCTACAGGGGGCACCGGGAGCAGGAAAAATGCAGTACCACACCCAGCTGCTAGGAGGCAGTCAAGAGGTGTGTCTCTGTCACACCACTGAAGATAAATTGTGTCTGAGTAAGAATTACAGGATCAGACCCTGAGCAACTTCTAGTATAAATCGTTCACTATAAGCATGTAGGGTCATGAAAATAAAAAGGTCTTTTCTGCCCTTGGTTATAATTACGTCACTTCCATTAGCAAAACTGTTTACTTTGTTGTTGTAGCTGTGTTGGTCCCAGGATATGAGAGAGAAAAGGTACTCGAGGCAATATCTTTTATTAGACCAACTTCTGTTGGTGGAAGGTACACACTTTTGAGCTACGCACACTGCTTCTTACATGCTGTATTGAGATAGATAAATTTAACAAATTCTGATCTTGCAATACTTGCTTAGGCAAAAATTTTAATGGGAATTTTGCCCCATTAAGGTATGAAGGATCTGAGATTTATTGATTGATTTATGTCTGTCTTTCTGTCTCAACAGATCACTTACAAAATCTGGTTGATATAGTTGCCAAAATGTTCTAGTGCTGACTGGGTCAGCTCCTTACAATAGATACACCTTGACTTATTAATCTGTTAAATAAAAAGTAGCTGGGAAAAGTGTGCATGTGATTTTTTTGATGAAACAATATACAACATTTTACGTGTGTGTGTGTATATGTGTATCTGAAGATTTCAACATCTAACTTAGTTTCCCAGTGTTCTTGTTGGGTGGATATATACAGTCCAATTAAGAAGATCTGGATAGCAATGCTGACAAACACTTTTGCGTTTAATATAGGACAAGAATCTGCTATTACAGACAAAAATGTTTTGTCAGAAATATGGAGGAATAGAAGATTGATGGCCTCACATAATGTGACACATGAAGAAAAGAACTGTACAGAGCCAGGTAAAACCCAAAAGCTTTCTGGTATTTTGTAAGCTGTTGAGATCTACCGTATTGTGCAGTCATAGCCCAAGCTGCAGTAATGTGTCACTGTGAATATAAAAGTGTCAAACATGGGGGGGGGAGAAGACTGTGCCATGTAGAAAAAAGGTTTATGAGCAAAGTAATTGGTGATACTGCTAAGCAACTCAAAGGTTTTATCTACTGAAGCTAAAAGGTAATGTTCAGACATAAAACTGTGTATGAGTCCTCATGAGACTTGTCTTGCAGGCTGGATCTCACACATTTTCTTTCCTTTTTGGTCATTGTTTCTGTCTTGTTGCTGCTATGTATGTTGTGTTGGTAGTAACAGTGCATTTTTTTATTAAACAGTGGATAGTAAAGGTTACAAGACTGAAATACTTATTTGGGTTTACAGTACCATTGAATCAATTTCTGTACGTTTAATGTTGCACTGAGCTATCTGTTCAGGTTCTTAGCTTCCACTAATGTCAGAATTGCTGTCTCTGAAGAGGGAGGAAGAATGGGGGCATTTAAGCATTCACTCTACCTCACTCTGTCAGTCCTGGCCATGATAGTGATTGTGTGGAGTGACAGAAGATACTGCCTGATGTGAGTTTGGACCTCTAGAGCTCTCACCCTCCCATCTGTGTTCCCATTATCATCCCTCCCTTTGTGGTTCATGGTGGAGTGGAGGAAGGAAGTTTCATCAACTGCAACACTGCTCGTTGATCAGCCATTAGATGCACCCTCTCTCAAAAGCTGATGGCATCAATTCCATAATACTACCAGCCTCCGTTAAGTAGAGGGGCTGGGAGTCATGCAACCCCTTCTTCAGTTGGGTGTCTATTGAAGCACTAATGCACCTTTCCATAGGGCTAGCATCACTACTCCCATGTGCATTTTTAAGGGTGAAGTGAAAGAGGATTAACCAGCGTCAGTAGGACACAAACCTTTTTATCTATGTTGATGATCCAGAGTTTCTAATTGGGTATTGGATATGTGCAAAGAAGTCTGTGGTATATTTGCACATGTAAAATGGTGACAGTTGACTTCACTTTAAAAATTCTTCATATAGAAGAGCAAAACAGATATCTTTTGGTAAGATCTGACTATTTCTGATGAATAGTCAAATTTCTTACTCGTGTGCATGTTATGAGTGGAATGCATTAGTATGAGTGTCTGCCCATGTGTACGTGCATACATGCGTGTGCACACATGTCGTCAGTGCTGAGCTAACTGAGACGTACAGTATCCCAGGAAATGGATCAAAGGGATTCTCTTTAAAAGTCTTCAGTATTAATGGGAGTTACTTTCTGGGATGACATGGGAGTTCATTTCCTTACTTTGGAGATTATATATACACATATGGGGGAAATCATGTTCCATATGCTATGTATAGCAAGGGGGGGGGGGAGAATGACTTGAGCAGTGCTGACAAGCCCAGGAATTCAAAAATCATGAAGCAACCCCCCAAAATCATGAAAGATTTTTAAACTAATTCTCTTCCCCCCCCATGTATTTCTCTCTTGATTTTTTTGAACCTTTAAGGTGCCCTTGGGTCACATTTTCAAGCTTTTTTCCACAACTATGAAGGCTGGAAACTTTACACTTTTTAAAAAAAGTGTAAAAGCTGAAATTCTCAGTCACATGCCTCCAGGAGCTGGAGCTTTAAGAAAAACACCAAATATTGTGAGACTCACAATAAAATAACAAGATCTGGCTATTCTGCTTAAGTCAATTTTTTTTTAAAAAGGTGTTACCTAAAGTTAATATTTAAATCAATTTACCAAATCATATCACAGGAAGATAGCAGCAGTGTTTTTGAGTCACTTCCTCTTCTACAGTTTGTGTATAGCTTATCTCTGGGTGTACCATAGAGTGACGGGAAGAGAGACTGAGGGAGTGTCTAGATATAAGGCTGCAAATAGAGAAAACATCCCTCCCTCTCTGAGAATGTGATGTTTGTAGCTAGAGAGGAAAGATGTCTTAAGAACCTAGGAGCTTAGAAGTGATTATTGTTAACTGATAACTTCTAGAGCCTGTGAGATTTTCTATTGTTGCTGCTCCTGTCTGTTTTAAAGGCTGGAATGTGAGGCCTGAAGCTTTATAAGGCAAAGCAATATGGACCACAAACTCCTACAAAAGAGTGAGCATGTAACACTCACATCATCTCTGTGAGATACCTAATAAGTACAATCCCTATTGCAAATATGAGCACTGGATCACAGAGAGGTTAAGGATCTTGTCCATGGTCACACAAAGTTTGTGACAAAACCAGTAATGGTAATTGCTAGTGCCCTACCAAATTCACATCCATGAAATCTGGTTTCCCCCGTGAAAGCTGGTCTTTTGTATACTTTTATCCTATACTATACAGACTTCATGGGGGAGACCAGCATTTCTCAAACTGGGGGTCCCAACTCAAAAGAGGGTTGTGAGGGGAGCGGTCATAAGGCTATTGTAGGGGGGTTGCAGTATTGCCACCTTTACTTCTGTGCTCCCTTCAGAGCTGCATGGCTGGAGAGTGGCGGATGCTGACTGGGAGCCCAGCTCTGAAGGCAGTGGCACAGCCAGCAGCAACGCAGAAGTAAAGGTGGTAGTACCAAACCATGCCACCTTTATTTCTGCACTGCTGTTGGTGGCAACACTGCCTTCAGAGCTGGGCTCCCAGCCAGCAATGGCAGACCTTCCTGCAGCTGGGGGAGGCTCCTGGAAGTGGGTCTGACCCGGCCCCGGGAGCAGCCACTAGGCCAGGGAACCCCCAGCCCTGCCCCTCCCTGGCTCTGGGCCCAGCATCCTGGCACTCGGAGGGCTAAAGGGGCTTTGGGCTGGCTGTGCGTTTGTGGGGGTGGACCATGCACCCCTCCCAACCATGGCACCCTGGGCGGTTGCCCACATCGCCCATCTGTAAGGCTGACCTGATCCTCTCCCCCCACCATGCCACCCTCACTTCTGCACTACTGCTGGTGGCAGTGCTGCCTTTAGAGCTGGGCACCCGGCCAGGAGCCATTGCTGGCCAGCAGCCATTGCTCTCCAGTCGCCCAGCTCTGAAGGCCGCACCACCGACAGCAACAGTGCAGAAGAAAGGGTAGCAATCCCTCAATCCCCCTACAATAACCTTGTGACCCTCCCAATGACCCCCTTTTGGGTTGGGATCCCCACGGTTACAACACCATGAAATTTCAGTTTTAAGTGTCTGAAACACTGAAACTTATGTTTTTTCAAAGCAGGTTGTTTGATGGGTGGGAGTTATCAGCTGCCCCAGGAACATCCCATAAAAGGCATGTCTGGCCAACAAAACTCCAAAAAAGCCAAGAAATTGGGTTTTGGGAAGCTACAGAGCCAGGCCTAGGGCTCCTATGTGGATGGCTCAGGCTTCAAGAAAGTTTTGCAAGGATTCTGGAGACTGAACTCTCTGCTTATTCCAAGTGGAGTAACTCCCACCCATCAAACAACCTGCTTTGAAAAGGTGCATTATTGCTACTCCTCTGTAGCTTTCCATAGGATGGGGTGATTGAACCTCAAGTTAGTAAGAAAACCATCAGAAAGGGATGGTGATCATTAGTATCTTCATGGTTCTAATCCGTTTACAATCACCTTTTTTGCCTTATCCAAATTCTTATTGCCATCTGCCAGTGGTCACAGTAGCTCACAGTGCCATCTGTCCACCATGACTGACTTACAGATTCTCTACTCCTGATGCCACAGTGCCTCTTGTTTCAAAATGCTCCCACGATCTCCGTTTTCTCCAGAACTCTGAGTAACATTTTGAGAGCAATTACAAGTGGGGAGTGATTAGAGTGTTTCTAAGTGGAAGACACACAGCAACATCCAGTCATGTGACTCAGCTGAATCATTAGAATATTGGAGCAATTGATTTGGATTGCTTCCAGCACAGAAAATATGCTCCACTAATAACTGCGTTGAATAGGAGAACACTTCAATAATTTGCCATGGATTAGGAATAATAAATATATTAGAATAAATTGCTGTTCGTACTCGTCTCAAACTAATTGGTGGGCTGCTTTGAAATGGAAGTTGTGACTCTTTGCCTAGAGACCCCTCCCTATACAGTTCATGAGCTATGTTGATTTATACCAGCTGAGGATCTGGCTCAGTGTGCCACTCCTATGGATATAAATGGGTACAGATGAAGGATGGCTCAGGGGCAGGGTATGGCTCACCATTTATTTCAGATTTGCACCTTTTCTTTTTTTCAGAAATAATAAGGTACATTATAGCAATCAATTCTCTACACTTAGTACAATGGAGGAAAAAAATTCACAATACACAACATCCCTCATACAATGTGCTTGCTAGCAGCAGGTGCACCTTTCACCTTCCTCTACAGCATAGGGCACTTGCTGGTTGAACTACAGTAAATGATGGATTCTCTGTGACTTGAAGTCTTCAAATCAAGATTTGAGGACTTCAGCAACTCAGCTAGAGATTATGGACCTGTTGCAGTACTTGGTGGGTAAGGTTCTGTGGCCTACGATGTGCTGGAGGTCAGACTAGATGATCATGATGGCCTCTCTGGCCTTAAAGGCTGAGTCCACTGTCAAAGCATAGAAAGAAAACAAAAGTGAGACTCTGATCTCCGTTATACCAGTGTAAATTCCGAGTAACTCTGACTTAAGTGGCATATATACTGATGTAACTGAGATCAGAATCAGGCCCAATAGTCATTACGCTGAGGTACATGTTACACTTAATTATTCAAGCTTTAGACTTGTGAGGAATACTGTAAATTGTAAAGAAACTACAGATACCTAGACATTTTTGTTAGTATATTGTAGTTAACGCAATGAGAGCCCCATCCTGTTCCCACAGAAGTTAATGATGTTCTCATTCACTCTAGTGGCAGCAGGATTGGTTCCCAAACATTTTGCTAAGAAGAGAGCCCTTTTTTATTATGCATTCACAAACTTTTTTTATAAAGCACCCACCTCCATTAGCCTTATTTAATAAACACTATACCAGGATAAATACACCTTTCT